GATGCAGAGAAAATTCTAGAAGTATACACAAGAAGCTGTTAATAGTGTTTATTTCTGGGCTGCCTGGGTGGCTCAGGCATTGAGCAGCTGCCTTCAGCTCAGGTCATGATCCCAGTGTCGTGGGATCGAGCTGGGCATCTGGCTCCTTGCTCAGCAGGAGGCCTGCTTCTCCCTCTCTCACTCCCCATGGTTGTGTTCCCTCTCTCTCGCTGTGTCTCTCTTTGTCAAATAAATAAAATCTTTAAAAAAAATAGTTTTATTTCTAGAGAGTGGGACTGGGAGTAGGAAGTCTTTGATTTTTAAAGTTTTACGTTTTTCTATAGAGTTCTTGCTCCCAGGGATTTCTAATTTGGGTCTTCTGCTGCTTTAGAAAGGAAGGAAGAAAAGATGGAAGAATTGCTGGCAAGTGAAGAGGAGTGGCCCATGCTGAGAGTGACCAAAACTGGGTGAACTGCTTCAGAGATACAGCTATCTAATTAAAAAAAAAAAAAAAGAAATTATGGGGCGCCCGGGTGGCTCAGTGGGTTAAGCCTCTGCCTTCGGCTCAGGTTATGATCCCAGTGTCCTGGGATCGAGCCCCGCATTGGGCTCTCCACTCTGCGGGGAGCCTGCTTCCCCTTCCTCTCTCTCTGCCTCCCTCTCTGCCTACTTGTGATCTCTGTCAAATAAATAAATAAAATCTAAAAAAAAAAAAAAAAAGGAATTAGGAACACCTATGTGGCCCAGTTGGTTAAGCAGCTGCTTTCAGCTCAGGTCATGATCCCCAGGTCCTGGGGTCAAGCCCCAGTTGGGGCTCCCTGCTCAGCAGAGATCCTGCTTCTACCTCCTCTGCCTACCACTCTGCCTACTTGTGCTCTCTGTCAAATAAATAAAATCTTTAAAAAAATAATTAAAAAAAAACGTATTTAAAGCAGCTCCATGATTAAAAGAAGCCCAAGCCACAGAATTCTGAACTTGGAAAAAAGCATAAGACTTCTTTAAAGGTTTAAACTCTATAAATTGTTTTGTTTTGCTTAAAGTTATTCCGGAAGATTTCAGATAGGTAAAAAGATGAAATTCTCCCTTTGCCCCTTTGTTGTCAATCTAACACAGATTGATACTCAGTTAAGGTCCCATGTCAGAGATCAGGTATTTGAAAACCTGTGTGACTTGTATGTTCTACCTCATCAGCTTAGGCAACAAAATCAAGTCACATTTTTTTTAAAGGTTTTATTTTTTAACAGAGAGAGAGAGAGAGAGAGAGAGAGAGCATGAGCAGGGGGAGGGACAGAGTGAGAAGCAGGCTCCTCACTGAGTAAGGAGCGTGAGGTGGGACTTGATCCCACGACCCTGGCATCACAACCTAAGCCCAAGGCAGAGACTTAACCGACTGAGCCATCCAGGCATCCCCAAGTCACATGTTTTTTAATATTTAAAATTCACAGTAGTCTGAGGTCTACGTAGCAAGTTGAGTCCAGATTTCCACTGGGGTTCTCCTCCCTAGATATCTCCATTGACATAAGCGTCATTCGTTTCTTCCAAAGGGATCCTCCCAAGTTGCTGATGGCAGGGCCACTCAGCCTCAGTGCCTGGTCAAACCTTATTCTCTGTTGCCTTGTGGCTGCCAAAGTTCACTGTCAAGGCCCAAGCAGCGACCTTGGCTGCACAGACTAGAACAAATGCCTATTCCTTCTTGGCTGTGGCTACCCAGGGTTAGAAGAGGTCCAAATGTTAACCACACAGTGCAAAAAGACAAGTCCTCTCTTGCCAACAACCTCCAAGCATGGACACAATCCTTGCTCTTACTTTCCCAAAGTACAGCCAAGGGCAGGCTGTAGACAAAGGGAAAAAAAAAAAATCACAGTCAATAGCAGTGTCTGCCAATATCTAGCAATGTTTGGGGCCATTTTTTAATTTTTATTTTTTGGAGGGGCCACTTTTATTTTTTTTATTTTATTTTTTTTTTAAGATTTTATTTATTCATTTGACAGAGAGAGAGATCACAAGCGGCAGGGAGGCAGGCAGAGAGAGAGGAGGAAGCAGGCCCTCCGCGGAGCAGAGAGCCGGATGCGGGGCTCCATCCCAGGACCCTGGGATCATGACCTGAGCCGAAGGCAGAGGCTTTAACCCACTGAGCCACTCAGGCGCCCCGAGGGTCCACTTTTAAATGAAAAGAAAAATCTTGCTAACCCTCAAATGTAAAATTAAATTATTTAAATTATGTCTCTTAATCATGTGTAAACATAAGACTAGGCATAAAGTGCTTACTCTCCCAGCTTTTCTACACTTATAAATTAGAAAAATTTTGCAAATTAGCAAAATTAAAAATTCAATTAATACTATGTATGTATTGTAGTAGATGATGTTGTTTTGCTGAAATTAAAATGTCCCTCGTGATGAGAATATGGAACTCATTTCTACCGTATGGGTTTTTAAGGGCATGATTATAATCAACTTAATTATCCGAAATTCTTCTCTGTTTGAATTTCTGTGAAACTTTGGTTCAGTGTGCCATGAGGACGCTTGATCTTCACTTAGTGAGAATGCTGTCATTGCCACAAAAAGTATTCGATTTTTTTCTCATTTGCCCAAGAAAATTAAAGTTACAGTTCTTGGTGCCAAATGCAAAATCAAGTGGCAGTGTTTCATTACAAGGTGGTCATCAAAATTATCTAGAATAGGCATATATTAGTTTTGAAAGATATTAATTTAAAGAAGAACAAAAATTTACACATTTTTTATAGTGAATTTGCAGTATATATGATTCCATTTATATGAAGAATCCAGAGAAGGCAAATCTATAAGGATAGAAAGTAAATTAGTGGTTGTCGGGCTGGGGGAGGAGGGAGTGGAGAGTGACTGCTAATGGGTAAGAGTTTCTTCTGGTAGTGATGTTCTGGAAGCTGCACAGCTTCGCAAATATACTAAAAAGCATTGAACTGTATGCTTTAAAAGGATGAATTTTATGGTATGTGAATTAGATATCAATTTTTTGGGGTGGTTGGGAGTGTTTATTTCCCCTCCCCCAGATGAATGATGGCTGTGAGATATTTTTATATCAATTTTTAAAAAGTGACTTCATAGTTTTCCTAAAGAACTGTAGATGGATATGAGGCTTACATGTATTTAAAGGGCTCATCCTGTGGAGTTTCCCAAAACAAAGCGTGTCCCCTCCAGCCTCTCTAATGTTGAGACTCCAGCTGTATTTGTATTACAAGTCAGATACGAAGATGATTGCCCTCAACCTTTACCAGGTAGTAGTGATGATAAGACCCACACAGGGCTAAGTATCATGTATTTTAAAAAAAAAAAAAAAGAAAGAAAGAAAGAAAGAAAGAAAGAAAGAAAGGGAGGTATATAAACCAAGAACTATAAATGTTAAAGGAGGAAGAGTTCTTACTTCTCATTGAAGTCCCACATGATCTTTGGTTGGAGGATCCTGGATGTTAATAGGTGGAGATCCTGGATGTTGATAGGTGGAGATGGAGTGAAGAGCATTTTAGCAGGGGAAATAGTATGAACAAAGATATGGGAAATGGAAAGCTAGAGCCAGAAAGCATATTTTTGGAAGGATGAATGAGCACTCGCTGGAACTAAGCTCTGGGAAGGAAAGTAAGTTGAAGAGGTAAAGCAAGAAGAATATGGACTGACAAGCTGTCTTTTTAAGATGGAAAAATTGAGAGGGCATGCGAAGGAGAAGATAGTAGAAATCTCTGTCTTTCACAGATTTGTATAAATTTGCAAGATTTCATCTTGTAAAAACCAGCCCCGATTAATTAAATATGCATTTTGTTGACTTGGAGCAAAAGTGATACTTGAAAGAACGCTTATATGAATTCGGCGCTGGTGGGGTACTAATGCTAAGAGCAAGGCAGAGCAAGGAAGAGCAAGAAAGGACCAAGCTACAGGAGTGGGCACTGACAAAAATGATTGCAAAAAGAGGTGTGCTGGTCCCCAAATCCCTCCTCCTATCATTTCAGCTGGCATCACCCAGCCCGTTGGCATCAGTATTATCACAATGAATTTATAGCATCAGTAAAATACGAATGCACCTGACGTGGCAATACCAAATTCATATGTGTTATTAGAATGAATTAATTCAATTTTTAAAAGCACACCATTCTTGGCACACAGAAAGCACCCAGACCATTTGTTTTATAAAAGAACATTGTTTGTTCTTTGTTTTAGTGTCTATATTTAGGAGAGGAAATGATTCAAAACTGCATCCTAAAACCTGTATCCTCTATTGGCACTGAAGTTGGAACGACCTGGGGCCAAGAGGTCTGGTTTTCCCCTTTAAAACTTAGGTTTCTGCCCCTCCGTCGAGTCCCTTAGGTCAGTAGGTCCAGCAGGGGTAGCAGTTCAAGTAACCAATCGCTGCTGGGCCATGGGGCGGGGCCACAGCGCTCCGCCCCTCCTCCAGCCCTTCCTTCCAAACCTACCCAGGTCCGGCCTCCATCGCACCTGCGTGTCCCCCCGCGCCCGCTCTGGTGCAACCTCTTCTGCAGGCGCTAGCTGGGAGGATTTCGGCCTTGCCTCTCGCGAGATCGCCTCCAGTTGCGGCCGCCGCCGCTCCTGGCCGCTGAGTGGCGGCGTCTGCGCAGCCGCCATGTTCGGTTGCTATGCTGTGGCCTGGGAGACGGGGTGTGCTTGAGGGAGGAGGAGGAGACGGAGGAGGAGGAGGAGGAGGAGGAAGAGGAGGAGGACAAGGGGTGGATAGACTGAGCTCCTCTTGCACTCTCACACACAAACGCTGCCCAGGATTACCCGCCTGCTCACGCAGCGCTGCGCGCTTTTCCGCTCCTCGCGGCCCCCCCACATTGTTCTCTCAGGACTCCTGGGTCCCCAGGGGCTGAATTCGGGGCCTGAGCCGGGGATAGGAGAGACTTGGCTTTGGCCGGAGGGTCAGAGGTTTGGGGCCAGCCCCCAGCCCGGCGCCCCGGGGCTCCCCTCCCCCACGGCACTTTCGGGGGTGTGGATTATCTCATCCCCGCAGGGAGGTGGGAGAGCACCCCGGCCGCCCGCCTCCCTCCAGCCTCCCCGGCGGCGCCGGCCCGCGGCAGCCCCGCAGTATGAGGTGGTGCTGGCCGCTCGGGGCCGTGGCGCGGCCGCTGCGGCGGCGGCTGCTAGGGGAGCGCTGAGGGAGACCCCGGGAGCGGCGCGGCGGACGCGCTTCCCTCCGGCGCGCACGGGCTTCGAGGCTTTTCTTCTCTAGCCGAGGGGACGCGGCTGTGCTACGAAGGTAAGAGGCTCCGGGGTCCCGGCCGGCCTCTCGGCCCTGCGCGGTACGCGGTGCGCGGAGCGCGTAGCTGTTACCTGGGTGTGGGAGGCGAGCCAGGTAGGGCTAGCCGGAGGCAACAAGGTTGATTTAAGAGGAGAAAAATGATGCTTGTTCCCCCCGCCCCCCTTTCTTTCCGGGACCTCAGCTCTCGCAGCACCTGGGGGTTATACTTGGAATATGGGTGAGCGAAGGGAGAGGGGATGGAATCGGTGCGGAGATGGAATGTTCCACAGGACTTAAAGTCTAGGTACGATTTTAGAATCTTCTGAGTTTTCCATTGTTGGTAGGATTCCTTTTTTTTTTTTTAATTGGGTTGTATGAGTGCTTCTTACATATGCTGCCTGGGCAGATTGTCCGTACTATTGAAGTTTTAAGGCTCTTGTGATTCTACCAGTATATACTTGTATTTAGGAATCTGTAGTTGGGCCAAAAAAAGTTGAGATGTAGCTAAGTAGATGTACCGATGCATTTCCCAGGGTTTCCTTAAAATGGAACAGTTTACAGTTGCACAGATACATGTATTGGTGTGTCTGCGAAATTTGGAAGGGGAGGCTTTTATGTCTAGGGTTGCCTCCTCTAGTGACACCACTATGGACAAGAACGATTTTGTAGGATTTTTCAAGCGCTTGTTCCAGGGGAACCTGTATATCTTCAATATTCCAACTGCTTTTAAATCAGAGTTGGAGTAATATTAGGTTTATGTGACCAAATCTTGGGTCTGGTTGAAAACTACAGCTTAACACATGTTTATGGAGGGGGAGAAAAAAGCCACCCAAAAGCCAATATATCCGACTTGTAAAAGATGATTTGAGTAAAAAGACTATGGAACAGTAAAAGCCCGGACATTTTTTTATCCTGATTTTGGAGCTTTAACTTGCCAGAGAGAACGATTTTTCGTTTTTTTTAGGGAGTAGGAACTGACCTTAAATAAATGATTGTTTAGAGTCCAGAGTGTGCTTATTGAAATAGAGCTAGATATATCAATTAGATCTTGAATTTGATGAATATAAATTCAGCGAATTTTTTCGAAAGAGATTTTTCATAAGCCTAAGTTTGTATAGAACTTTACTGACTCACAATAAGAGTGCAATCTTTTGTGGACCCCACCATTTTTTGTCAGAATAAGTTTATGCTCCAGTTACCACAGAATTTATTTTTGTCTCTTTCTGTTTTTTTGTTTTGTTTTACTTTAATGGCACACATATCTTTGTTAACTGTTTTTCACTGAAACATGCGCATGGTCCAATATTGTGTTCCTGAGTGGTTTGGTTTAATAAAAAAAAAAAAAGCATGGTCTTTCAGGCCATGGAATATTTATGATTTAGCTAATCTGTTTTAAATATTTGGCAAGAGATTTAAAAAAATCCATCACTATTTTGTAGTTTTTTTTTTTTATTAATAGTAGGTTAAAGTTTATTAAGCTAGAAAATCACATGTTAACTGAAAAGTAGTAATGAAGAGGATATGACTTCCTTATTGCCTGTTTCCTATTCTGCTTAGCTTTGGGGCTGTGGGTTTCAAATTGTTTCAAACTCGTGTTTTTTTCTTATGTTCTGAGTATCTTTTAGGTTTTTAAACATAAAATATGTTTTTAAAATGTCCCTACTAACTTGGTTACTTTAAATTTGTGACACCCAATTTCTAATTTAGGCTAGGCATAAAACCAGCATTGATTGAAGACACTTGCTAAAAATACTTTCTGGGTCAGATGTACTTAGAGTGCAGCCTCAGGAAAATTCATTTGACCTATTCTAATGCAACCAATGTATACTTCATTATTACTGAAGGACTTTAAAAAATAATAGACTCTCACAAATTAGATTTCATCAGTTCAGGCATAGAAGCCGACTTTTTTTAATGTATAAAGTACTTTATGTAGGATAGTGATGAAGACTTTTTTTTTTTAAACTTTTTTCATTTAAAAAAAAAATTATGTGACCCACTCCGTAGAATATTGTTACTCTGTGATTGGTATATTCAGAATATTTTAGTTTTATCTAATAAAATTAGAGTTGTAAAGTAACAGTATAATATGCAGTGTTTCTCTTTAGCATTTATGTGAGTTGTTCTGAACTCTTTGAGGGGGATTGTTGGTCATGTTTTGAGTGAATTATCTTTAAGGACCAAGGTAAGAGAATGCCAGACAAATTTCAAAGAGACATTGAGGGGTCCTCCTCCTCTGCCCTTTGGGAGTTAATATGGTCAGTTTTAAGCAACAAGAAAGCTTTAAAAAAATATGTAGAAGTCTTGTTTGGTGGATGTCTAAACATGAACCTTTAAAAGTTCTTTAATTCTTTATTAGTTTTAGGTGTGTAAAATTGGTGATCTCATGAGAAATGGCAAGTCTCTAACTTGATGTGGCTAACTAGTTGCTCCTACATAAAATTTAGTGTTGGCAGAAAATCACTGGCTACAAACTGAGTTGAATTTTGTTGTTTTTCTGTGTAATAACATGCATGGTGTGAAGTTTTTTATGTGCTGTAGTCTAGATTTGTTAAATTTGTCCATTTACTAGATTAAGCTGTGAAACCTGGAAGGTTGGTTTAACATTCTGGAAATCTTTTTTATTACTGTTTACTGGGGAAGTATTGTAAGAGGAAAGTGTTATTTCTTCATCTAATATTCAATTAGTAGTACAGGTGGCGAGAAGGAATGTAATGTTTAAGTACTGTAGAATCTTCTTTACTGGTGTGGAAGTGCAGTATGTAGGGACAGTATAATTTCTTTTCCTTTGCATGATCAGTCAGTATAGTCATATTTAAAATAGGATGGGAAATAAGCAAGAAATTTATTACATTCTCTTCTACTTCATTCAAGGCATTTTCCTTTACTTTTGTTCTTCATTTCATTATTCCTGAGTAGCAACCCTGGAAGAAACGTGCCAAGTATTTGAAAAAATTGATAGGAACAGATTGAAAATTAGATGCTGTGAATTATCTTGCAGGGGAGATATTAATTGGGGTGTTCTTGTGTTTGTATCTTTTAATAAAGATGTTATTTGGGGATTAGAAAGAAAAAAGTATCCAAAGGGGAAGTGTTAGTTGTCTGTTTCGTGCCTGACAGAGTAAAGGGGCTTTTCATGTTATCACACATAATCATCAAGTACACTTTGTGAGAGAAGTATTAATCCCTTGCTTCCTCCCCCCACCCCAATGGGGTCAAAGGGAAATTAAATAACTAGTCTAGGATCACACTACTAATAAGTAGAATTAAAATGAGGTCTGTCTGACTCAAGCTTATTTTGTAGATTATACTATCCAATTAAACTTTCTACAGTGATGGAAATACTCTTTCTGCACTGTCAGGTATGGTAGCCATTAATCATGTGTGGCACAGATCACTTGAATGTGACTATCATGCCTGAGGAACTGTAAATTGTATTTAATTTAACCAGTTTAAATTTAAATAACCAGATGTTGCTAGAAGCTATTAATATTGGTTAGCACAGCTTTAGATCTTGCTGCCTAGAAAATCTGAGTTTTAGTAGTGAATCTTCCACTAGTTTATATATGACATTTAGACACCTTATTTAGTTTTTTTTTTTTTTAAGATTTTATTTATTTATTTGACAGAGATCACAGGTAGGTGGAGAGGCAGGCAGAGAGAGAGGAAGGGAAGCAGGCTCCCCACTGAGCAGAGAGCCTGATGTGGGGCTCGATCCTAGAACCCCGTGATCATGATCTGAGCTGAAGGCAGAGGCTTTAACCCACTGAGCCACCCAGGTGCCCCTATTTAGTTCTTGAGCCTCAATTTAATCCGTTGTGAAAATGAAGAGGTTGTCACTATAAGATTATATCCACTGTCCCTTCTTGCTCTAGAGTTCTGGGATTCTTATTAAAATGTACAGTAGTATTAAATATATGTGAAAGGACCCCTCTTCCCAAATACTCACCCGTTATGTAAACATTTTTGTTTGTTTAGTCAGTTTCCTTTGTAGAAGAGTATGTATAAAGCACAGGTAAAGAATGGTGGAATATTCCCCCCGCCCCCGTTATAAAACATTGTTTAACGAAAGACTACTTTTCCTTGGAACAAAGTTTGAATGTTTAAAGACCATATTTCAGCATGCTGCCTTCCCATTTAAGAATATATCTGTTACAATTCCTTGTTACTTATCAAATTAATTTCAAATTTATCGGCTTGGCCTTGAAGGCTTTCCAACTTCATCTCACTAACCTTGTTTCTCATTCTTGCTTAAAAAGAAAATATTCTTGTTTTTTCCTCACCCTTGTTTCCTCAGTTTAAACATTCTTGTCTTCAATCCATGTGTCTCCTTAAGTCTTCCTCAAAATTCACCTTTTTTTCCTGGAAAATGCTGCTTAATCCAGTTTATAATCATCAGTTTTGAATCCCAGTAGTAAGCACCCTGGTGTTAATATCTGATTGTTTATATGTTTGTTGAGTACATCCTTCTCAAGTTTTTACCTGTTACCTATTCTATGTCCTTAATAAAATACTAAAAAATTTAAAATGGGAGTTGTTTTTTATTGTCACAGGAGTTCAGATCATTGCTCAGCAATTCTCCTTTAAAGAGTGGCTAATTTAAAGGAATCATAATGTTACAATATTCACCCTTAATCACCAGTCTGATATTTTTGTTTCCAGGCAATTGTCCATATTTTTACAAATACAGTTGTACGGTGGAGATATACTTTTGAGTTTAATATACTGGAGACATTGTATAGTAGAAGCATTGTAGTGTAGGAAAAAGATGATAGATTTTGGAGTCATGTTGATGTAGGTTGGAATCTGGTCTCAAAAACTTTGGGCAAATTATTATAGTCTTAAAGCCTTCTTTCTTGTCTATGAAATTGGGATAATAATACTTGACCTTGAATTTTCATGAGTATTAGGATAATATGTGAAAAGTATCTGGTACTTTTTAAATAGAAGAGATGATCAGTAAATGGTAGCTGACATTTTTCTCATTTTTCCATTTCCATCACAATGAATATAAACAA